CATTAGCAGCTATAGCACCTTATTATCAGATATAATAGTTACGAAGAACAGCATATAAATACGCAGGACATCTTTCACTATTAGCTTCACTCAGGTCCTGTTAGCATTTCCCTGACTGGGAAAATGTTTCAGATGCATAGGGTTAGTAGGAAAAATGCTAGTTGTGACCACTGTTATCATAATATTAACGTTTTGAAACAAGACGGTGGTGGTTGGGAAGTGGCGAACCGGTCAAATGCTTTGATTTGTAACTTGAAGGAAAATATAGTTTTAGATACAAATGTTAAAACGTTGACTGCAAAAATACATTTGAAAGCTTGGTACTCTGAATGATGACACGTTAAATTATATTGAATATTTTACTAGATTTTATTTATTTTCATAGTTAAATAATACCGAATATTTTACTAATTTCATTTATTTTCATCGTTTGATGTACTGTTCCTTAAAGATGAACGATTTCATTTTGCAGAGATGATTAGTAAGTGTCGAGGAATAGTGAAAATTGATATAAAAATCAAATAGTAAATTACGGTTTACAATTGTCACAAAGCCCATTACAGTATTTCACAATTCCACTTAGGCTCAGGTAAACATTTAAGGTCGCAACAAAATAAAAAGGCTGCAAACCAGAATAAAGATAACGGCGAGAATAAGTTAAAGGACAAAAGCAGGAAAATACAAACATTACTGTATGTCAGCTTCGAAATGTTTTATACACACAGAGAAGTAAGCGAACATAAATGTACACACACCTACATACAAACATGTTCATTATATTCTGTAGCTTTGTTGTTCCGCTGTAAAGTCCGTACTGTTGTAAATTGAAAAAAATGTTTCTAAATGGTTTACATTTCATAAGGAAGTGACACTTTTTGGACATCTGTAATGGTGATTTTGCATTAAAGTTGATATATATAGTACCAAATGCATAGATTAATAACAGTTTTTGAATAGATCTATACTTTTACATTTAAAAAATTAACGCACGTAATGCAGTAATTGGTAGGTAAACAAACAACAATCTTGTATAAAGATATATAATTTACTGTTTTTAAAATATCGAAAATTTATAAATAGAAAACGTCTTTATTCAAAATATTCATCTGTTTTCTCGTGACTTCATCAACTAGCACTGTTTCTTAAATGCTATAGTCATTTCTCTTAAACACGGGAAGTTGTAAAGTACGCTTTCACATATGGTTTAGTATTTAAAGAAATGTAAGGACATTGAATTCGAAGACAGTATGACTGAAATTAATTAATACATGTACTACTTTTCACTTAGTCTTAGCAAAGTACAGCGGAAGTGCTTATTGCAGATAAGTGTTTTTAAATGGAGGGGCTTAAAGTGCATTTATTCCTATGGTCCTACATTCAGGCGGGATCATGAAACACTCTCTCTCTCTCTCTCTCTCTCTCTCTCTCTCTCTCTCTCTCTCTCTCTCTCTCTCTCTCACACACACACACACACACACTTTCTGGACAAGATTCAGATATCGTAAATAACATGAACTACTGATAAAAGGTATTTAAATGGACTTTAGTGAGAAAATAATGAATATTTTACCCGTCAGCAATCAGCAAATCACACTAATCTAGAATAGTTTTTTAGGGCAAGGACGACTATAAAAACATTTGAATAAGATAATTACGCACATAAAAAATGACAAGGCACGTAATCACAAATAACTTATCAATGAACGCATACAGAGACATCCAATGGGTTTGTGCGTCCGTGCGTCACCCGCCGCCTGTATATAAAGGCCTGAGCCAGAGGAGAGGACCGCAGTTGGAAGTACTTTTCACCTACACACATTCCTGTTCCTGCAGCATGTGGTCGCCAAGTTCAGCGTATTGGTGGCTACGTTGGTGAACTTTGCAGGTGAGTCTGGGGTATTTTGGGGCCTGGCGTGAGGTTACGAGGCAATTTGGTACTAACAACTGGAGGAAAAGGATAGGTATGAGTGGGAGTTACGACATACTTCGCGGATCTGTATTTGGTATAGATTTTTTGTTTGTTTTATAAGAGGTTTCAGTAATTTTCTGTGCCGATGTGGAGTTACGATGATAATGCGAATAGTGTGATCATACTGGTAAATGTTTTAGGCAAAACGAGTGATGGACAGGACTTGAATAACAGCGTCGGAGAAAGCAATTTTTCCTCAGAAGAATTTTTGAAGAAGGGAAGATTGTTTAATCTAAGATTCATTTTTTCTCTTTCTCTCGAGGCAAAGATGCGTGTGACATGTTAGTGATGATGATGATTGTTATAACGAACAAGTTGGTAATCTTCGTTTCGTAAATGACTGGTGATGATAATGCTTTAATAACTGATTGGTGATAACTGTTTGAAAACTTGCTTGCTGTTGATTATACTCATTTGGTGGTAAGTTGATAAGCATTATTTGATAACTGATACGTGTATTGCAATCACGTGATAATTAACAGATTTAGTAATATGACGGTTATTTCATGATTTAGGGAGGATGCTCAAATTACTCAAACATGCTTCGTCCACGCCAGGCATCACACATATTCCAAGTCCATCTTCGCCCAAAAGAGAGAAAGAAAAAGGGAACTCGCCGGCCTTGGGTTTTAAAGCATTTCTGAAACTCATCTCACCGTCAGGCGGAGGACGTCGGCATTTCGCTGCAACAGGAAATACATTGAAACGTTAGACACTGAAATAGAAGTGCTAGATGAAGTTACCCATATGTCAATCATTAGTGTATATATGTATATGTGTATGTATATATGCATATATATATATACATATATATACATACATATATATATATATATATATATATAATATATATATATATATATATAATATATATATATTATATATTATACATATAAATTATATATACATATATATATATATATATATATATATATATATATATATATATATATATATATATATATATATATATATATAGTATATATACAACATAATAAACCAAAAGTCACATCTAAAAGGGAAACTGCGCACGAGCCATGGAGAACCGCAGCTGGATCGGCCGCGCGAGCTTTCCTTCCCTCTGGACTCTCGCACGAGTCCTGGCTCTCCGTTGGTCTCCCAGTCTGCAATGCGCCTTTGCATGTCATCTGTTTTCTTTGTAAATGGGTCACTTCTTCTGTCTTCTGGCCAATATAATAACTTCTTCTGGCCCAATATACGTTTTAATATACGTTTTCTTCTGGCCCAACGTTCTTCTTCTGGCCCAATATACGTTTTAATAACTTCTTCTGGCCAATATACGTTTTAATAACTGGCCCAATACGTTTTAATAACTTCTTCTGGCCCAATATACGTTTTAATAACTTCTTCTGGCCAAATATACGTTTTAATAACTTCTTCTGGCCCAATATACGTTTTAATAATTCTTCTGGCCCAATATAATAACTTCTTCTGGCCAATATACGTTTTAATAACTAATATACGTTTTAATAACTTCTTCTGGCCCAATATACGTTTTAATAACTTCTTCTGGCCCAATATACGTTTTAATAACTTCTTCTGGCCCAATATACGTTTTAATAACTTCTTCTGGCCCAATATACGTTTAATAACTTCTTCTGGCCCAATATACGTTTTAATAACTTCTTCTGGCCCAATATACGTTCTTCTTCTGGCCCAATATACGTTTTAATAACTTCTTCTGGCCCAATATACGTTTTAATAACTTTTCTGGCCAATATACGTTTTAATAAGTTTTAATAACTTCTTCTGGCCCAATATACGTTTTAATAACTTCTTCTGGCCCAATATACGTTTTAATAACTTCTTCTGGCCAATATACGTTTTAATAACTTCTTCTGGCCCAATATACGTTTTAATAACTTCTGGCCCAATATACGTTTTAATAACTAAATATCGGCCCAATATACGTTTTAATAACTTCTTCTGGCCCAATATACGTTTTAATAACTTCTTCTGGCCAATAAATAACTAATATACTTCTGGCCCAATATACGTTTATAACTTCTCTGGCCCAATATACGTTTAATAACTTCTTCTGGCCAAATATACGTTTTAATAACTTCTTCTGGCCAATATACGTTTTAATAACTAATAACTTCTTGGCCCAATATACGTTTTAATAACTTCTTCTGGCCCAATATACGTTTTAATAACTTCTTCTGGCCCAATATACGTTTTAATAACTTCTTCTGGCCCAATATACGTTTTAATAACTTCTTCTGGCCAATATACGTTTTAATAACTTCTTCTGGCCCAATATACGTTTTATAACTTCTTCTGGCCCAATATACGTTTAAATAACTTCTTCTGGCCCAATATACGTTTTAATAACTTCTTCTGGTACGTTTTAATAACCTGGCCCAATATACGTTTTAATAACTTCTTGGCCCAATATACGTTTTAATAACTTCTTCTGGCCCAATATACGTTTTAATAACTTCTTCTGGCCCAATATACGTTTAAATAACTAATAACTTCTGGCCCAATATACGTTTTAATAACTTCTTCTGGCCAATATACGTTTTAATAACTTCTTCTGGCCCAATATACGTTTTAACTTCTTCTGGCCCAATATACGTTTTAATAACTTCTTCTGGCCAATATACGTTTTAATAACTTCTTCTGGCCCAATATACGTTTTAATAACTTCTGGCCCAATACGTTCTTTCTGGCCAATATACGTTTTAATAACTTTTCTGGCCAATACGTTTTAATAACTTCTTCTGGCCCAATATACGTTTTAATAACTTCTTCTGGCCCAATATACGTTTTAATAACTTCTTCTGGCCCAATATACGTTTTAATAACTTCTTCTGGCCCAATATACGTTTTAATAACTTCTTCTGGCCCAATATACGTTTTAATAAAATACGTTTTAATAACTTCTTCTGGCCCAATATATATTTTCTAAGTGTTTAATATTTCTTAATATTTATTTGAATCATTATTTTTACCTTTGAACTTTAAATTGTTATATTTTTCACAGCCGCAAAATTCCAACCGAATAGAGAGACAAGATGCATCCGTAATTTTGGTGATTTGTCCTTAATTAAATCGACCTCTGACCTGTGTTTGTATTGACAGTATTCTCGAATGTCGAAGAGGGATGGGCTGTTATCTTATTTCAAGGGATTTTGGCCCTTAAAGCCCTCTTCTCCTGCCCATTTTCATTTCCATTTTCTTCTCCTTAAATCGCTGTTCATTTTCCTTTCTTCCTTTCCCATTTTCATATTCATTGTCAAATTCTCTTTCGCATTTTCATGTTTATTTTCAATTTCCTTCGTCCCCTTACCGTGTTTCTATTTTGTTTTTTCTCTCCCCATTCTTTCTCCTTCCTTTTCCTATTCTTCTCCCCATTTCCCAATTTCCACTTCCTTTTCTTCTCTCTCTTCTTATTCCTATGTTCTTTTTCCTATTCCTCTTCCTCATTCCATCTCCATCTTCCTTTTGCTCTTCCTCTCCCCATTTCCAATTTCCATTTTCTTTTCTTCTCTCTCTTTTCCCTGTTTCCATCTTCTTCTCCCTCTCGCCTCTTCCCACGTCCATTTTCCTACTCCCCCCCCCCGACCCAAGGTTACGGGAGAGGACAGTCGCTGCTCTGACCTTGGGGAGGGGGGGGAGGAGGCGGGGCTTCGGTACTTTCTCCTTTGGGTCTTTCTCTCTCTCTCTCTCTCTCTCTCTCTCTCTCTCTCTCTCTCTCTCTCTCTCTCTCTCTCTCTCTCTTCTCTCTCTCTCTCTCTCTCTCTCTCTGTCTCACGACAAAGAACAGTTGACCTGATCGGGTATGACCTGAGTGCCTGTCCTTCGCAAATAACAGCTGCACACACGGGTCGCCTACGGTACCTCACAGCTCATCAGTGGGTGTGTGCACGAACTTTCTTGACCGTGACTCTCAATATTTTTGTTTTTGTATTTTATGTTATTATCTGGTAATACACCTAAATTTTTGTATGAGAGAGAGAGAGAGAGAGAAGAGAGAGAGAGAGAGAAGAGAGAGAGAGAGAGAGAGAGAGAGAGAGAGAGAGAGAACTGTGAGCCCACACAGGGACTTATCAAGATGAGGGTGAGGATAACCTACGTTACCACATCCTTTTGAGATGTAATCTTTTGTCTCAATAAACTTGTCAAAGTCAAAGTCTCTCAGTCTCTCTCTCTCTCTCTCTCTCTCTTCTCTCTCTCTCTCTCTCTCTCTCTCTCTCTCTCTCTCTCTCTCTCTCTCTCTCTCTCTCTCTCTCTCTCTCTCTCTCTCTATCTCTCTCTCTGTTTCATTTTCTGTGGTTTCTTTGTCGTTCTGTTAATTGGTGTGTTTGCTTTGTTATTGTTTTTTTTTTCTCTACGTTTTTTGTGTTATTTCTGTCTGTTCATATTTTTGTTATTTGTTCTGTTTTTTCTTTTGTTATTTCTTTGTCTGTTCATTTTTTTGTTATTTCCTTGTTTATTTTTTTTTTTTTTGTTATTTGTCTGCTCAGTTTATTGTTTTGTTTGTTTGTCTTTTCTACGTTCACATCCGGAGGTTTTTCTATCTCTCAATTCATTACTTTTTTTGCATTATTATCATTTTATAAACGTTAGTCATTTCTAATCTCAATGCATTATTTTTTTCCATTATTATCATTTTACAAAAGTTAGTCATTTCCAAGGATTTGATGAACGTAATGACGAAGATGGACCGTCCTGCTCGGAGGAAAATATGCCTCTCCCTTCACGCGCCTTTCCCTTCCAGAACCCAGCCCGCCTCCCCGCTACAGCCCCTGGGTCAGTCCCTGGGTGAGGCAGGAACCCCGAGCGCACCCTTGCGATGGGATCTTCGGGAGGAACGCGTCCTGGTGAGTGCATGGGCCTCCTCCTCCTTCGGCCTTCTCCTCCTTCTGCCTCTTCTCCTCCTTCCTCTCCTCTTCTTCCTCCTCCTCTTCTGCTCTTCGTCTCCTCCTTTCTGCCTCTTCTCTCCTCCTCCTCCTCTCTGCCTCTTCTGCCTCTTCCTCCTCCTCCTCTTGACTGTTCCTCTGCCTTCTCCTCTCCTCCTCTTCTGCCTCTTCGTCCTCCTCCCTCTTCTGCTCTTCCTCCTTCCTCCTCTTCTGCCTCTTCGTCCTCCTCCTCTTCTGCTCTTCCTCCTTCTCCTCTTCTGCTTCTCTCCTCCTCTTTCCTGCTTCTTCCTCTTCGTCCTCCTCCCTCCTCCTCCTTCTTCTGCTCTTCTCCTCCTCCTCTTCTGCCTCTTCCTCCTCTTCTGCCTCTTCGTCCTCCTCTCTTCTCCTCTTTCCTCCTCCTCCTCTTTTGCCTCTTCCTCCTCCTCCTCCTTTTCTGCCTCTTCCTCTTCCTCCTCCTCTTCTGCCTCTTCCTCCTCCTCCTCCTCCTCTTCTACCTCTTCCTCCTCCTCCCCCTCCTCCTCCTCCTCCTCCTCTTCTTCTGCTCTTCCCCCTCCTCCTCCTCCTCTTCTCCTCTTCCTCCTCTCTCTTCTTCTTTCCCTCCTCCTCCTCTCTTCTGCGTCTCCTCCTCTCCTCCTCCTCTCT